GAATTCCAGTTTTGCCCGTAACATATATATGACTAAATGGAATGACTTTATATTCTATATATGCATTTCTTCGTCTGTATTGTGTTTCTAATGTGTCAATAATACTGTTTTCTATAACCGCATAGCGAGATATTACCCTAGATAAAATCCTATGCACTTCTTATCTGTTTCCTATTAGGATTCTATATGTTTAGGATCCCGTTATGATCAGTTTAGGAGCCTAATAAGTTCCTGACAGGATCTCAGATGTTAGGCTCCTACCAGAATCTGGAGCGAATCCTAACATTTAGAATATTCTCAGACCTTTATTTCTTAATGAAGAAGGATAGATAATCTCAGGGTGAAGTAATAAAATGTAACGAGCCATCTTTAAATGTACTTTAGAGTTACAAAGTTACAAATACTTTTTTTTAATAAAAAAGGGGTGTAATACAGGGTGCTACAGTTGAAGCGATCTAAATCCTCATCAGTTTTTTATTTTGTTTGTTGCCGTGCCAGCTATCAATACCGTTATGGCGCCCCTTGAATAAAGAACAGACAAAAGATTAAATTGCATTCAGTTTCATATGACAGTGATTCTTATATGATTTTCTGGATACGGCTTACACTGGGAGAATTCGAAATGAGAAAAAAATTTGATAATTGTCTTGTATTATATTATTGTATTTGCGTTTGGCGATTTCTAAAATACTTCATATCTTTTCTGTTTAATATAAACCACCAGTTAAGCAAAATTGTAATAGTTTTGAGTTGTGTTCTCTTCATGATGTACGTTTTCGCTGTTTTTATGTGCGTGTAGATAACAGTATTCGCATTACCGAATATGCTGTTGCATATCAGCTTATGATATGCAGAAAAAACAGTTAATATACTTGCTGAAAAATTAAATTTTTGAAGAATATGTCGGTGAAAAACCTTTCAAAAGGCTTTTCAAATATATTATACATAGCAAAATCTCTGGTGAGATCAGGTAAGATCATATGGCTTCTTATATTATTCTTCTTGCAGTCTGTTCTTGTATGCTTTTATAACAACAAGTTACAAGAAACAGTATGATCTTGCACGATCTTATGAAATCATATGAAAAAATCTTATTATAAGATTTTATAAGAAAACAGCAGATCATGTGCGATTTGCAGAAAGTTTTCATCTGGTTTTCTCTAAAGCCAACAGTCATATTGTGTATAGAATCTAGGTTATTCCAGCAAGATGAAGATTTTTATAATAATTAAGAATATTTCTAAAACAAAATACAGATCGTATTGTAATCAGATAAAAAACTGAGTCGAATGATGATTCAAGACTTCAGCGATACATTTTTTCCCACCAAAAAATTTGTCCTTGGGGAAGTTTATGACAAATCCGTGAAAGAATTGGGTCAGACTTACTGCTACTAACCTGTTCATTTCAAGTGATAAGGTTGGGTATTGTCAATAATAACCTTTTTAGCGGGTAATGTCTTATTTTTGTTTTTCTATCTTCATGGTTTTGCTTTCCTTTCATGTAACAGAGATTAACATACACTAATAAGTAAAAGGGCGTTCACTCAGATTTTTCTGCACTTGACACACACTTTTCATAGACTATAATAAGTTTTCACTGCATTGTTCAAGTTCATATTTTTCTAAATACTTTTCAATTAATATGATATTTGGCCGTAACGAAAAACACTGTTTTATGAACAAATTATACTGCAATATTGAATGAAATTATCTGTAAAGTGCTAATGTTCTTTCGTTTTAAGCTAAAGATTAGCATATCATCTGCATGGATATCACCAAGAGTTTTCCGGAATTGTGAAAGCAGATAAAGAAAAAGTTCTAACTCTACTTCAGATATTAAACTCTTAAGGAACAAGTTCAAGTTGGAGCTATGTTCAGGTTGAACTACGTCATTTTTGTTATGCAATACAGCATATTTGTTCAACCTTGATTTTTTTCTCAAAAATAATTGTTTTAATTTGTGGGATTATTCTATTGATTAAGTTCTATGTCCTTGTATTTTTCTAAAACGATGACAATATTGTTATATTCCTTCAATCAATTATCGTTGATAAATAAAACAAAAATACATAGTGAGAGGGAGAATAACCTTCGTTCATTGTTTTTGTCGATCATTATTAACAACAAAAACACTTGTCGCGAAACTATAAATAAATAATTCGCTATAGAAATTATGTATGTTGTTTCTTGATTCAAGTATAGAATGTACACGTTCATAGTATTCCCAATTGTTCTAACTTTAGCTTTATTTCAATTAATTCATTCACATGGATATTTAATAGATCCACCAGCAAGAAGTTCGGCTTGGTTGACTGATAAAGATTTTAGAACATGTTGTCAGTATTACAACCATATGGAAATGTCCTGTGGTGGTACTTTTCATCAGTGGAGTATAAACGGTATCGCAACGAAATCTAAATGAGCTCTTGTTTTTTTATCTCTTACATCAGAGACCAATAGACAAACTTTCTTTTACTTGCGTTTGCTTTTGATTGAACATATTGAATAAATACGATGTATTTTGATGCTTAATTCAGGTGGAAAATGTAGTATTTGTGGCGAACCATCTGATCTAAAACCAAAATTATTGGGTATCGGTGATGCAATGTATCTTGGAAAAATTGTTCGAACATACACGCAAGGCTCTATAATTAGTGTAACAGTAATTGTAAGTACAAGTGAAAAAATATCTTAAATTTCTTCTTCAATATTGAAGTTTTATTTGTAAATAGATGACTGCCAATCATCTTGGTCATTTTGAATTTCGTCTATGTGATATTGACGGATTAACAACAGATGCTACACAGGAATGTTTAGATTCAACTCTACTGCAAATAGCCGGCACGAATTCAACTCAATTTAAAGTTGATAAATATCCCTCACAGGCTACAGTTTTGGTGAATGTTACTTTACCGTCATCCATGACATGTTCACATTGTGTTTTCCAATGGAAATATGTTACCGGTAATAGCTGGGGAACAGATTCACGGACTGGTAGATCATGTCTCGGGTGTGGAAGAGAAAATGAAGAATTTTTTGGGTGTTCAGATGTTGCTATTACGGGTTCAAGAAAGAAAAAGGGTTCGTCAAAACTGAAAAAAGTCTTTTTTCCATAGATCATGCCTTCACCAGTTTTAAGCAATGTACATCGACCATAACTTATGTGACATTTGCGTCATTAATGGATCTTAGTACTATAATGGAATAATATTGTCGTACTGTCTATATAAATGTATATATCTGTATGTAATGTACATATCCTTTTCACTGGTCAAACTATGTATATATATATATATATATGTATATAGTTGGAAAAATTGTGTAATTAACATTTTATTTTTATAAATAAAAAATTAGATGTCTAATAAAAATTGTTTACTATCATCTGTACGTCACTGATAGGGACTGATGCCGAAAAAGTACCGATTAAAATGAGAAAAGTGGACATTAGGGTCGGTAATCGTTTTGTTTCGTCAACCTCGATATGAATATATCATGCATATAGCATAACAATATGGTACTGATATCTATTAGTGATACTCTGATTAGTATAAATTTAAGTAAGAGGAACTACAATAAAAAACTAAGCACTAAATAAGTTTCAATGTTAGCACTGATTTGAGTTTGCACTGTACTTTTTGGCAGAAATATAATGGCATTGGTT